TAAGAGCTGAACTCAGCTTGGAGTCTGTGCCATTCAGGAGCTCACAAGTCATTTTCTAGATTTTCTGTAAGAACAGAGTGACACAGTTCCTTACTCACACTTTACATAGTAACCCTGCTGCATTACGGGAACACTGTATGCTGTACACAAAGGAAGATGTGAAGTTCAGGACTGAAAATGAATGCTTTGTTACTAGCCTATTAACATGTGGAAGTGAAAGGGAACTCTGCAAGCTTTAGTAACCAAGCATAGAACAGGAAGTCCCACCCAGAGAAACACTGCTTCAAAGAACACTGGAAAGATGATTATTTGATTTATTTAGTATTTGCAAACTCTGCCATGGTTATTCAATTTATTGACTAACACAAGATGTTACAGAAGCAAAAAAAAAAAAAATCTGACACCTCTTTTGGGGCATGACTGATGTGCCATTATGACAGCATTTAAAGAGTAACCACTCACAACTAACTGATAGCACTACTGGGTCTTTCTTGGGTTTACTGTTAATTACATAAAATTTAAGTCTCTAATGAATTTCAATTAAACCAAAATAGGGCATCAAATGAAAGGCAGTTCTGGTGAAGAATGACTTGCTGAGAATGCACATTATCTTAAACAGTTTTAGTCAAAGTTTAATATTTCTGATTGGATTCCGAGAGATTTATCATAACTTTGTGGTAGGCATGCAGTTTCTAAAATCATTTTCATATCAGCACCCCCAACTAAAGTAGTGAAAAACAGAAAATTGTCTAGCATCCATAATTAATTTGAAGGATAACCAGATATTCACTTCAAGTAACTAATACTAATCCCATCTATAGAACTTTCACACTTCTTAAACTCAAGGTAGGAGCTGCGTCTGAAGTTTCTTTAATCTCATAGATTAGTTCACACACACCAGCTGCTCAAGGAATATTTCCTAAAATTACAACAATAATTAAAAACAAAATGGAAATCGTGGTAACAATTATTAAAATATGCAGGTTTGTTTCTAGCAGGCCAGCAGGGTCACCACCACAACAAGAAAGCCTAAATTTTTCTCTGACAAGGAAAGCCAACGATCCCATAAAATAAAATCAACAGCTTTAAAGTAAAAAGAAAAAAGAAACCTCTAAGCTATGCCATATTTAAATAAAGGAAAAGTAAAAAGAGAGCCAGGCTACTCCACACCTTGGTCCACAGGTCCATCGTGCAGCATTCTCCACTATGTCTACAACTTGAGATCCAAGGTTTGGAAATGTATTGCGGAACTAAGGAAATGCAGTAACATGTTCTTTTCATGCACATAATGAATAGTTACTATAATAGGTAAGACCCTCAAATTGAGGCTATAGACAGGAAGCTGTTAGACTATCTTACATTTTCCAACTACATTTTAATTGAACTAATATGTAAGACTTTCTTTTGTTAAATAAAGGGGGAATTTTTCAATAACTGGCTTAAAAAAAACCACAAAACACTGCTGATCATGCAATGGCATAAGACTTTCCAAACAGATTTACTGACTAGTAGGAAGCAGACTATGTGAGATTTCTATGTAAGTATAAAATGCTCATAATCCAAAAGCAGAAATGATCAGATGTTGAAGGTTTTTTGACCAGCAAGATCCCACTGAGATTTAGGGACTCTAACATCACTTTAGAATTTTCAATCCTTGTCCTAATGACAAGTTTATTTAAGGACATGAAAAGCTTGTATCTAGGATCACTGTAAATATTTTTTCGTATAAGAACAGAGTACACAGAAGTTTGGTCTGATAGTCTTTTGTGCCAGTAGTAAAACTAAAAATGGAGATAAAATAATGGGCTTCAAATGCTACTAGATGGAACAAAGCGTCTTTGGCTAGAACTTTTAAAACTCATTCTCAGATCTGGAGCAGGATAAAGTTCTGAAAGATCACAGATACTTCTCAGAAAATAATTGTACAATACAAACATATAATAAGGCTTTCCACAAATAATTTAAAACACTGTCCTTTTAGATAGTATAGACTTACACCCCTTTACTTCACTCCATAGTATCTGGAACACAGTTAAAAATTATTTACTGAGAAACTACCCACATGTACATGGGCAGAGGGATTCTAAAAAATGTAATCCATAGTCTAGAAGGCAAATGTAAATATATATATGTAAATACTTACAATATAATCAGGTAAAGTTTATAGAGGAGCGTACAAATAGTATTAGATATTTATTAATATACCCTTTTGTAGAGAATTCAAAGTTAACAATAAACTATTTGCCTAGTTGCACATGCCTATATGCAAAGTCCAATGATGGTTTGGTATGACATTACATACTGGTGGCATAAGTGTGATTTAATGCAACTATTATTCCAATCTCTTGAATACTTCTGAACTGTTCATTTTTTATTACTGTATTTCATAAACTATTATTTGTCACTATTCTCTCGGATAACTTCTGTTAAAATTTCACCTTAATACTGTTTTCAGTGCTTGATAATATATGTACCTCCTCCATTTCTAAAACCCAAACTGAGAAGTATTTAAGCATTAGAAGAGAAACAGCAAATGTTAACAATTTAGAAATTTTACTGACTATATCTGCATATAAGGTAACTAACATCAATATGAAAATTTATCCAGGAATCCGGGAATCAATTATCAACTAGTAAGCGGAATGTCACCATCTAGAAAAAGTACAATGATATATAAAAATATTGTGGTATAAAGGGCAGAGCATTACAATACAGCAGCACGAGGTAGGAAATTACCCTGTTTTCTTACATGACAGACCTTCTTCAAACTGTTCAGAAACTTCATATATCAAATATACATATGGGCTCTGAAGTTAAAAAGAAAGATGAGCCTCCTTTCAAGAAGTATATAAAACAAAGAAACTTTTCTTGCTTTATATTCGTCTATACTATTTTTTTTCTAACTCACCCTGGGCTACAAAGTAAACAGTTACTTTGTAATATGCTTTGAACAACAGCTCTCATTTCTACCAAATTAATCTGTTAACTAAGTTAACCCTCTTATTTCAAATAGTAAGCACAGCATTAAGTCAGACGTGAATTTCATAACACGTCACATGGCTATTTATGCACACTTCAGGGCTGGAGCCCAAGAGAACCAGTGGAAACACACAGCCCTGGATGGGGCAATAGGTACTCAAGTGTGCACTAACCTAAATTTATGCATTCCTTTAGAAAAAGAGCAAAGCTGTTATTTTTCTCTCAGGAACATGTGAGAGTCACACTACCAGAAGGCATGTTTAAGTAAATCTAAAGGAGAACAGGTACAACCTGGCCTTCTTTTCAGCTCCGTACTCATCCTGAAATCCTGAATGGTAGCAGGTGAAGCACTTTTCAGTACTCCCAGTCAGTCAGTGAGCTGGAAAACGTCTGCAATACTTTCTACCAGTATGTCTGAAATATACTTGTGTACAGATGGTTTTGTCTTCTACAAGCATATCAAAATTTATTGAGGGTCATTTTTGAGAGGGCACTGCTAAGTTTAAAGAATGATTACTGTTAACATAAACAGCAATCAAGTGCCCATCTGCTGGGAATGATTCTTGCTGATGCCAAACTGAGCCTCCTCCTTCCTCTAACTTCTCCCTGTACTGTGCAGATTCATCAACAAAATGAAGGGGTTGCAGGAAATAAGGGCAAAGATATTAAGAAAACAAGACAAAGTAAAAACCACAAGAATGCTGAAGGACACAAGTATGGGGATGCTAAACAATTTACTGAGGCAATAAAGATGGCTCTAAGTTCACAAAAGGATGTGAAAATCCAAACCAACTATATTCTACTTTTTAGTTCTTCTCTTTTACCCATCTTTAAACTCTCAAAAGAAAATGGAAGTTCTTTCAAAAGACTAAGGAATCGAGATGATCATTATATTTTATTGCCAACCCCTGAGTTCAACAGGCCCCACTGCCACGTGAGGCTATTTTTTGTTTTCATGAACCTCCTGGCACATCCTGGCTCACCCAAGAGGTACAAAGTTAGAAAGAGAACATCAGGAGTGAGAAGACTTGAGTTTAAAATTTTAATTATTTGATTTCTAAATTACATCAACATATTGCTAAGTTTAACATTACTGCATTAACCTGCAGTTGTAGAATGGCTTGATAAAAAACTGTCAATATTCCAAAAAGTTAAACCTGGAACTCTGTCAAAAGACTATTTTAAACCCCTAACTTTTATAACACAAAAAGAAATACAAGAGTCCTTGGAGAAAACAGTTTTTGTTTTCTTGGCCCTATTATAAAACATCAAATCACTTTTTGTTTATTAAATGTCTAACTATAGACAAGAAGGTAAATAGTCTTAGATTCAACTTCTGAAAATTAAAAATCTCGTGTTCAGATAGAAACTATTTCAGAGATATTTTTCTGATTGTCCTGTTTTGGTCCCACAAAGCAACCATAGACACAAATGAGACATAAACGACACCTGAGGTAAAAAGAGATTTGGCTGAAAGCAACAGCATAAGATTTGTTTACTATATTGCACTGTGTCTCAAAACTACTGTCCAATCTGAGCCACTATAAATGTGTTTTCTTGGTAACAGTAGTATCTACATGTGTCATCCTGAAATTAATGGCACTGTAAAAGCAGAACTACTCACAACTAACATGAACTTAAGTTATATATACAAACAAAACAGAACATAAAACAGTAAAAATATCTTTTTTGGTTTTTCTGTTTGTTTGTTTTTCATCTTTTGGAGCCAGGGTCTCCTTGCAAAGCTGGCATGGAACTCACTTTGTAGAGCAGGGTGGCCTTGAACTTACAGAGATCCAAATGCCTCTGCCTCCTGTATGCTGGGATTAAAGGAGTGCACCACCATGCCTGGCCTAAAAATATCAATTTCTATAAACTCAAAACATTAAGTCTTTTATACAGTACTGTTTCAGATATGGCACTTATAAGTATTACTTCCTGGACAACAAGATGAAGACACTAGGGGGAACTGAGAGTGGGGATACAGAGAAGCATCCATGCTGATAAAAGCTCTACTGTACCTGCCACGCGGTAAGGCATGAGGTGCACATCAAATGCCCACAAGGCTCAATCTTGACGTCTTTGTCATTCTCTGCACAGATTTTACAGAGCTGAAAAGTGGAGCCCATTTCACAATAGAGTTCATATTGCTCCTGAAATATAGGGAGAAAGGGGCGATGTTAATGGATTTCTAGCATAAAGCACTGATGTTGAATTTCCTCAAGTATGATGACTTATAGTAAGTACCTCACACTTGATCTTTTTAGGATTAACATTACTATTTAAGGACATGTTTTACATTGACAACTACAATTTCATCAATAAAATCAATTTTTAAAACATCTGAGTTCTTGTCATCAATTTTATAACCTTTAAAAATTTTGGATTATTTACTGTTTTATAATTATTTTAAGAAGCTGCTTTAGCAGTTGAAGGCATCAAAAGACAAAACCCACAGTCTGAAAAGCAACACACATGAATGGCTGCTCTGTGGATGTCACACACTCATTTCACTCCCAAATTCAAGAATTCCTGTCTTAACATTGTTTTATTTCTGAGACAACTGTATAAATATCAGAATGAAAGACAATCAATGTTTACCATCTTCACATGCAGCAATACTAGCCATGTAACTGCCCAAAGCATAAAACAGAATGAAAAAAAAAACCCCCAAAACTTCAGATGAGTAGGTTTCAACTACTTTTCTCAAATTCTAAATTGTCTCTAACTTGAAAGCATATGAACAGTAAATATTCTGTCATCTAAAAAAGTATTTTCATAAAAATAATTTCTTCTTTTTATATTTTCTTATTTTTATGTGTATGAATATATTGCCTGCATGTATCTAAGTGCGCATCAAGTGTATGTATCTAAGAAGGAGTCAGAGTGGAACCGGAGCTTTAGATGGTTGAAAGCCATCATGTGGGTGTTGGGAACTGAACCTAGGTCCTCTGCAAGAGCAGCTAGTGCTTCTAACTACTGAGCCATCTGTCCAGTCCTATTTTTAACTATGCTGTGAAGATTAGAATGCTTGATTAAAGTAAAACTCGGTGCAAATACTGAAAATTTCTAAGTTTTCAAAGATACAAACAGATTGGTAAATATGAAAAATTTGTTAAATGTTGTTTATGAGAGCCTGAAAGAAAAATAAAAATTTGTATAAATTAAGCCATTTGTTTGTAAAGTAAATACCTACAAAGTTCCAAGACTTAAACAGGATAAATAGCAATGCTAATTGTAGATACTACTAAAAACATTGCAATAGTGCAAGGTTGAGAAAAAATATACATGCATTTGTATAAATATATACCCACATACAAATGCATGCACATACACATGCCAATTTAATCTACTATGGTGTATGTCGGGAAATACATGATATTTAGAGAAACTAAAGAATAAGGCAAGAGAATGAGTCAAAATGGAAGAAGATTTATTGCCGGAAGCAATAAAAGTTATAAATTTTTGATAATATTGAACTAGTAGATAAGTATCTATATCGCCTGATTATCCAAATCAGTTTGCAATTGTAATGGATGGCAGAAAACTAAAGTCACAGGTGTGGAACTAACTGCAACCTAAGGAATAAGAATACTTATGTGAAACTTACATGGATGACACTATTCTTGAAGAGTTAGTCATTATTATTTTTGTAGTGCTGGGGTTCCAGCTCAGCACTTGAACATGCTAGGCAGGTACTTTGCAAACTGAGCTATATCCTCAGACCAAGTTAATTTAAAAATATGGCTTTAGAAAGAGGAATAATCTCCCATTGGTATCCTTTTCTATATATTAGAAAATACATTACAGAACTGCTACGGCAGTCATATGTTACACTTTAAAAGCCATCCACAAATAGTACATATAAATGACAATGTGTCTATTTCCCTTCAATATATCAAGACCATGGGTACTGATGCCAAATAAAGTAAAAATTAGTTTTCTATCTTTGAAACATTCATTGATTATCATGGAAAGTACTAACATATAAAAATATTAAATATTATAGAATGAGATTCTCAGAAAAACATATAGTTCAGATTACCACTTCCTCCTTTTCCTAATTCTTTAATCCTTCTTCAATTAAATATGAGTTTTGGTTGGTGCTTTTTGAAATGCACACTCATTCACTTATGAATACTTGCTAGTTTAAAAAATTTGACTTAAATAATGCAATTTTATAAAGTGATATGTTCAATTATATGATTTCTCTAACAATGGACATTTTTTGGAGGGGGTGTGAATTTGAGGCAGGATCTCCCTGTAGCCCAACAGGCCTAGAACTCTCTATGTAGACCAGGCTCACAGAGATCCTCCTGCCTCTGCCTCCTAAGTGCTGGGATTAAAGGCGTTCAGTGTAAACATGCCCTGCTCAGTGGGTATTTTTAATAGACAAGATGCAGAAGTTTCCACATGAGCACACAAAGGTCACACCTTCATGGTACTGGATGCACACAACCACTATAGGCAAACCATGGCTTATTTACTCTATCAATGAGCAATTAAGTAACTGGTGAGTTTTTGCTTTGTGAGAGATGCTGCAGTGAATACCATTAAATAGATCCTTGTGTGCATGGCAAAGTGGTACACAGATGGCATTTACTGCCAAAGATGTGTTCATTCAGAGTTTTGTACTTACTGAAAATGATTTAAAACAGGCAATTTACCAAGTTCCCACTCATAATGTATAAGACTGTCAAATTCGATTTGGAAAAAGTAATTAGTATTCTCAGCCTTTCTCAATATTCTCATATTACTCATTTCACTTTAAAAGTCAGAATATAAAACAGATCATTTCTGTCATCATTAATAAGGATTTTTTTCCTAACATGTATGATCCTGCCTATGGATTTATCTATCTCTAGGTAAATGTCAGTAAGTATTATACTGCAAGTCTTACCATTAACAAAAGAAATTTTTATCTAAAATAGGTTATACAACTTATTTGTATCTTTTAATTCCTGAATTCATATTAAAATACCTGTGCATATTTTTGATACATATTCCGATTTATCCCAGAGATAGTAGAAATATTAATGATATTTCCAGAAATTATCCTTACCTGTGTAACTTTTATGTGATCATGGGGTGTAGGTTCACACAATCCAGTTAAATCAGGATTATAACTGCGTCCATCAGGATAAAGATAACTGAATTTAAAAATGTATCATTTTAAATATTAGTTTTAATTGCAATTAACTTTAATCAAATTCTTCTCTATCTAGACACAATTTTTATGGTTCCTTTTCACATAGAAATCAACAATTACAATTTTTATAAGGACAAACATAATATGGACTTACCCATTTAACTATTTTCAATTAAATACCTCTAATATCGATTCCTTATATAGTTAGAAGTTAATTTATGGGTTAAGTATATTCTATTCCAGAACTACCTGAATATACTTCTAGTTAGATGTACTATATATTATATTTGAAGCACAGGTGATGTTAAATGTATCATTTTATGCTATGTTGAATACCAGATGGAGAGAAAAAGAGAATTAAGGCTGTAAACTGAAAGTCATTAAAGCTCTCTGTGGTAACTTTCCCACAGATTCCCAGTCTATCTGCTTCTGTCTGTCTGTTTCTGTCTCTCTCCTAACTCCCAGTCTATCTGCCTCTGTCTGTCTCTCTCTCCTGACTCATTTTTCACTCACCTTAATATGCACGCATGTGCATAAAGCCCCTTATGACACATACATGAACATACCTATATAATTTTATCTTGAGACAGGGTCTCCCTATAGCCCTGGCTGGCTTGGAACTCACTATCTAGAACAAGCCAGTCTAGATTTTACAGAGATCTAGCTGACTCTGCTTCCCAAGTGGTGGGAGTAAAAGAATACACCACAATGCCTGGTATGACACACATATTTTAACATGTAGAAAACATAAAAATTTTACGTTTCACTGACGTCTGTGAAGTCATAAACAGAACGGTTTGCAAATACAAGGTTTTCTGCTCAGACGAAATAGAAATCTAAGCTAAAATTGGAGTAAAATGACCTCTTGGCAGTGTTAAAACACAGTTTAATCATTATTCAAAAGTATACTGAAAACCAAGTTTACTGTACCATTAAATACCATTTTTGAGTAAAGCATGACTGTACTTTTAAGACTGATACAAAGGGGAGTGTCCTGCAGTGATGCTGATTATGCAAAGAGAGGACAGAGAAAGTAGTATATGACTGATGATTAGCTCGTTAAAATACAGATAATTTCTGTTTGATAGTATCCTCTATCGTAGGGCTCAATAAAAATTTAAGAATAGAATATACAGTAGTAAATATTTTAAAGGAATAAAGACTGCAAAAATTTTTGGTGCAGCAATAAAATATCTTTAAATGAAACAACTACAAATATATTAGTAACTAATATTGGAACTTATGCTGCAAAATAGAAAAATAAAATTAAAGGAGCAAATATCCTCAAGTACTAAGAGACAAATTGGTCAGGTATTTCTTTTAACATAGAAAGAAAAAGGAATTGACTTCTTTTAAATATTTAGTGTTAAGATGGAAGGGTGACAAAATTCTATAGTAATCAATTTAGGAATAACAAGCAAAAGTAGGGAAACTTTGTCACATCCTAAAAAGCTCATTAAAAGGATTATTATACAATATTTCATTTAGCACAGTATATATAAATTCTGGGGAGATCTCAGATTTGGAAAATTACAAAAATGAATATAAAGATTCCAGAGTAAAGGCTAAAAGGTTTTATTTATCCTATCAAAGGCAAGTTGGTGCCTTTGTCCTTGGTATAACCAGAATGCCACACCAGTCACTGACCATGGCTGAGGAAGATGAGACTCTCAGTTGATTACCACCTTAAACCTCCCTGCCAGCTACATCACACGGTAGTGGTTCAACCATAAAAGAAAGAGCCCAGCCTTGATGATAATTAGACTAGATGATGTACTGTGCACTGACTGATCCCCCCCAAAATCCTCCCAAATTCATGAATATTATATCCTAATCAATTATTGAAGTCAGATTCAAGTACCCAGCTCCTTTAGTGTTTGTGTGTGTGTGTGTGTGTGTGTGTGTGTGTGTGTACATATTAAAAGTTAATTTGCATAAGAGGTCTGAGGGTTTGATACATTGCATGGGATATTATAATTTGCTATTTTTTACTGGCTTCTGAAAAATAGAAAAAACAATATAAAGTTTATCAAAACTGTACAATGTACAAATTTACCAACTCAGGCCTTCTTTATAATTTGAACTTTACATTTAGAAACAATGTCATGGTAAATCTAAAGACACAGACAGGAATCCTTAAGGCATGAATAAAGAATAGCAAATGTATGAAAATTAGAAAAACAGTGAAATTCACATATGGGTGCTATACACTGCCACACATTTCCCACATCACTGATGTTTTACAGTTGGATGGCCTTAAAAAATAAAAGATTCGGGGGGGCTGGGATACAAGCCTGTAACACTGTAGTCCCAGGACTCAGGACGCTGAAGCAGGAAAATGGAGAGTTGAAGGCCATTTGGGCTGCACAGAAAGATCGAGGTCAGCAGAGACTGTCCATTGATATTCTGATTCAACAGCCAAACTCAAAGCATACAGCAACAATTTCTTTCTCTTCACATTGATACTATTATGTTCTTTTTCTGATTTTAAAAATGGCTCCCCTTTCTGTGTTTAGCAGTTATTTTAGAAAAGGGAGTATCTAAAACATTTGCTCTCTGCGAACTTTGAAGAACTGTCTCCTGCCACGCTTGTTTCTGTCACTATCCTCTGCTCCATACTGTAAGTGAGGCCGTGATAGTATTGGTTACCTAAAAATCTGAAGAGTCAGGAAAGGGGCAAGTGATGGAGTGAAACTGAAAATGCAAAAGAAGAGAGTGTCACATGTGACTTAATTCCTAAGAATGAGACAGAATTATTAGGAGGAGCCTGACAGATGTCCAGGCTGTGGGGACAGGAGGCACTGCTAACCTAAGGACCAGCACTTAATTATGTTAAAATATTACTGAACAGCCCTTTGCTTCCCTGAGCCTGCAGGATCCTCAGCTCTCTCTCCAACCCGCAAGCCTCTCTCTCTGGGGTAAGTCTATCCTGCCCTCCATTCCTTGACTCCCACAGACTCACAATCCTGTGCACCAGAGCAACTCAGTTCCCTCACGGGTCCCCAGGGGCGCTCTGGGCCTGGCCCTGCCCTCACCCCCCACTGCCTCTCTGGGTCTACACAATGCACCGGCCTCTTTCCTGGACCCAGGGCTGACCTTTCCTTTTCCTGGTCCTTTGCATCCAGACCAACCAAGCTCCTCAGTGCAGTTCCAAGGGGCCCCTGGGGCTGTCTCCCTCCACCATCTTCCTTTGCATCTCTGGGTGGCACAGCCACCAGCTGCCCTAGACCAGCATCTTTCCTGGGCACAGCTACCAGGCAGTCCAACCCCCAAATTCCTGAGGCCAAAATCTATCCTGGAGGAATCCAGACCTTAGGAGAAAGCCTGAGAGTACCTGATCCTCATCTGACTTGGGCCTCTGTGGACACTCCTGAAGACAAAAGCACTCTGGCCACCCCAGTATAAAATCAAAAGAGAGAACTGGAATCTTAGAGGAACAAGCCTTTCATGACCAAAAAGTAAAGCACAAAGACACATAAAGTTCACAAAAACAAGTAGACCTAAACTTGAAGGCTTGAGTCTCACCCAAAAATCAGAAACTACAAAAGAAATTCTCAAGTCAAAATCACAGAGAAAAAATAATAACATGAAAAACCAAAATAACATATCCCCAACAAATACAAATAGTGCTCTAGAGGAGTACAATGAGAATGCGCTAGAGAAAATGCAGGACATGGAACTCAAAAGAACAATTATAAACATGATAAAAGAATACGGTGGATTTAAAGAACTCACAAACAAAGAAATCAAAGAACTGAAGGAAGATAGGGATAAACTTCTGAATGAATTCAGAAAAGTTAGAAATATTGAAGAATACTCAGGCTGAAATGAAGAAGGAAGTGAAATACTCAGTAAGCCAATTAGAAGTGACAGGAGAAAGCCTCACAAATAGGATGAAGGAAATGGAAAAAAAGAATATCAAAACTGGAAGATAGAGTGGACGAACTAGACCACTAAAGAAAAGATTATGAAAAAATTTAAAAAATCACAAGAATGGATTATGAAGGAATTGCGTGATACCAATAAAAAGAACAAACTTACGAATCATAGGCATAGAGGAAGGAGAAGAATCCCAAGATAATAGAATGGAACAGATCTTCAACAGAATTATGGAAGAAAATTTCCCAAAATTAAAGAAAGATATGCCCATACAAATACAGGATGCATATAGAACACCAAACATACAGGACCAGAAAAGAAAAGTCTCCACGGCACATCACAGTAAAAACACTAAACGTACAAAACAAAGAGACAATACTGAAAGCTGCAAAAGAGAAACAAGAAGTCACATGTAAAGGAAAACAAATTATGATAGCAGCTGACTTTTCAGTGCAAAGTATGAGAGCCTGGACCAAAGTAGTCCCAGTTTTAAATGACCACAGATGCCAACCCAGATTACTATACCCAGCCAAAATGTCTACTATAGTCGAAGGGGAAAGAAGAATCTTCCATGACATAAATAGCCTGAAGGAATTCATGTCCACAAAACCAGCCCTTCAGAGAGTTCTGGAAGCAATACAAAGAGCTGAAGAAAGGAATGACTATACCCAAGGGGTCGCGGAAAGAAATCCAATGAAAGTGTAACTGTGGAAAAGTACAGCTACATCAGGAATATAAATAGAAATAAACATGACAGTATTCAATACTTATCTTTCGTTAATAACTTTAAATATTAACCGACTGAACTCCGCAGCCAGGAGACACTGACTAGGTAAATGGGTTAAGAAACAAAACCCAACTTTTTGGTGTCTGCAAGAAATCCATCTCATTTAAGGAGAGACACTATCTCAAAGTGAAAAGATGGAAAAAAATATACCAAGAAAATGGTACTAAGAAAAAAGCA